CCTGATTTAGACAAAGTAGTATCACATTTTCCTGTATATAGTACTTGTTTTTAGTCGATTAGTACCTACATTTGTCAAGGATAATTGATTATTTCACCTGTGGTCAATATTAAAAAAAGTGGTACCAGTCATAGTGTAAGTTGGTACCTGTAAATGGGAATTTAGTACCACATATGAAGTATTTAGTACCAGTTGTTTGAACAGATAGAAACACCGAATTTCGGTCGCAAATGATGTCTATAAGACCCATGATCACTCTCACATTAGTTTATATGAGATTTAAAATTTGGTTTGTTAAGTTTAATCGCAAATGGGTCACGAACTCAACGCACTAATGGAAAAGCAATACTTAATTCACTTCGGAATGTCTTTTGCTCAATTAGTACCAGTTATTGATGAATTAGTACCACTTATTCTTCTATTTAGTACCAATTATTGATTTATTAGTACCTGTTTTGTAGAAAGAACAAAAAAAAGTAGGTACTAATTGATCAACAACAGGTACTGGATAGAAGAAAAAATGGTATTATTTGTGGTAAAACCAATATTGTTCCATAAACCATATTCTTCGAAATCTACATATTCTACAAAATCATATTCCATAAACCATATCCAAACATCATCCACAGACAAAGCAAATATCAACCAAACAACCTAACAGTTATTGTTCAAATTCAAAAGACAAATTGTTCACAACCAAGACATATTGTTCAAAGCATCATCCAAACAGTCAACATGAAGGAGGATTTCTGAGGATGCGAGCTTCCATGCGTGCTCGATAGCTGTCAATCGAACAACTATAATGGGCCTTCCAGATTTCAGGCGAATCGACTCCATAGCACTCCATATCCAAGCATATATATGTGCACGCCACAGTCCTTGAAACTGATCTGCTCCCTGAGATATCCGAACCCAAAATCCTTTTGACGAATGTCCATTCCACAAACATGCTTATTCAAATAATATCCCATGCACTTGGCCTTCACATTTTAAAAAATAAGGAGAAAGCAACAAAATACGTTTATTCGAAAGAAAAATAACCACCACCATTTCAACCAAACCAGCAGAACCATTAAAGAACAAAATAACAACACAATTAAAGAACTATATAGCAACCAAACCAGCAGATGCTTAACTAAATGAAAAATTAAATAATTAAACACTGAACTAATTGAACCAGCAGCAGATGCAACCAAACCAGCAGATGCTTAACTATATAGCAACCAAACCAGCAGATGCTTAACTAATTGAACACTGAACAATCAATAC